CGGACTTGGTGGATTACGAGGGACGAATAGGGCTATCACCACCTGCCGCCAACCCCTCAACCGTAGAGTATGAGGCAAACGAAGCTAGCCTCTAGCCTAGACACCATGTCTACGCTATCAACTACTATTCTAGCATCGATCAAGGTTATCTGTCTTTATCAGGGCCCTTTACTAGAGTATTTCTCACAAGGACGAACGAGGAACCCGCAATTAAATAATGAGCAAAACTAACTTAAAGTAGAACTCACCACTGAAGATAAACACGAACCTTATACTCCAAGTAGTATTCGGTTTATAGAGGTACAAGTGGAGAGGAGCGATGATTTCTGGCATTCCTTCCGCTAAGTGTACAAGGGGCCCCGAGTACACAAGAGGCGGTAGCTGACAACTCCGGTACTTCTCCACTCTTACTCACTCACTCCCTATACTAGAACTAGCTAGAGAGCAAAGATATAAATGGAGATCTTTTCTTCTTGTCACATTGTGTCTCTCTTGTGTTGTGTGCTCTTGTAGAAAGGGGGGTTGCCCCTCTATTTATACAAGGAGCAAGGGCGGTGCTATGGCTATTCCTGGCGCGAGGACCAAGCTGCACCGCATCTGTATGGAGCCATGCCATCGCCTGTCGTAGGGGTGGAAGAGAGGCGCCGACAGGGTTGCCCGCCCCCTAACCATGCCTCCTCGCCACCGCCTTCACGTGGCGGGCCGTGGGCTGGTCCTATGTCGCTCCTTGGGTGGTACTTCGCCTGGATGAAGTGAATTGATGGGCGTTTCTATTATTCCTTTGCGCGAATCAGCGTCAGAAAGCACCTTTCGGTGAAAGTTTCCATTCATGTGTTTATGTCATGCAAGACAATATTCTACAAATACATGTAGAACTAGGTCAATAGTAAATGTATATATGTTTAAGATTGCTAATTTATCCTCTTTTTGTGTCTTAATTGGCAATCGGGTTTGATCGTTAAGGACCGCCAACAAGCTCCCCCACAATTAGTCCTTTGCTTGTCCTTGTGTAAAGTTCTAAGGATTGAGCTGGTTCATCTCCTTGATTTGAAATCTGCATACAAGTTATTCCGAACCTCACCTGGACCTGTGAACATTATGAGTGTCTACCATAAAATCTTGAGTGATTGGATAGTAGAACAGTAAGGATTCAAATCTTCCTACTATACTCTTGCTTAGAAACTTAGGTTTTGTTTGATTTTGAAAATGTAAGTGTTAACTTTGCTCCTCAAAATGATTCACTCGGGTCAATCATATGTGCTATTTTGGTTCCTCACTTAGGCAAAAGATGTTGCCTTTACTGACTACCTCTAGACAGGCTTATGTGGAGATCTTAGGTAGGGCAAAGTGTGATATACATACCGTGCACATGTTGCAAAGTCAAAATCCAGATCTAAGGAGAAATAAGTCATACAATCCGATCAAGAGGTGCAAGTGTGTGGTATTTTGTGGTTTTTGTGGAAGAAATACTCCTTTACTATTTTCGATCTTTCTTTCTTCACCATAGGTTTTTTTCTAGAGGTCATGGCAATCTTTTGATTCAATCTTTTTTTTCTCTCTTTTTTTTCTTGGACTTTTTGAGTCCATTTTCTTTGGACTTCTTTGAGTCCTTTTTATTTTGGACTTTCCTTTCTCCATTTTTTCTTTTCTCTTTTTTTTCATTACCATGCCTCTCTTTTTTTATGAAACCTTGGTGAAGCGAGATTGAGAATTTTCATGGAGCTTTCTTTTTGTGGGTGGATGAATGGAATTTTTTGTGCTAGCTTCCGGTGTAGAAGCTTAGCTTTATTTTGTGGGTGACGTGTATGTGCTCTTGAGTCAGGAAAGCGTGAAATATTTCTTCACAAAGTATCACAACATTTTGTCAAAGCTTAGTACAAGAATAAGTAGCTTATTTGACAGGGTTTTGAAAGGAATTCATCTTTTGGCCTTGGTAGATATTTAAATATCATTTGAGGAGCATGCTAATTGAGTTTTTGACTTTATAAAATAATTCCCAAGTACTTTGCAAAAGTGAGCAAGTTTCATTTCTATCCTACTATATCTCATATTCTAATTACTTAGATAAAATGGGTTCCCTATGATAAGTTGTTCACAAGTGTAGGAATATTGGCAAGGAATAAACAGTATGCAAACTTTTAATCATAGGATGACATGGAGATGGAGCATTTGTTTGATTTGTAAGATTTTAATTTGTTAACTTTTAACCTTTATTGAGATGTAGGGAGTGAGGATGCACAAACCGAGTTTAGAATTGTTGATCTTTTGTGCATCATTTCGGGGGAGGTTTTGAATGCTTTGTGTGGATCTCCTCCACACACTTGTTTCTCTACCTATATTTATTTTCTAGAAAAAAATAGAAACAACAAGGGCTCTACCAGTTGAGAACTAGGGAGCCTAAATCTTAATATTATTATTATTATTATTATTATTATTTTATTTATTTCTTTATATATTTTATTTTATTAATATTAAAAACTTGTTCACCCAACTTTTCTTTTTATTATTATTTTTTTAGTTTAACTCAAGCAAGGCTAAAGTAAGGTTGCAATGTATTCCTAGCCTTGGCTTATCTCTATATTAGAGTACTTCCATTGTTTATGAAAATAATACAATAAAGTTTATTAACCAAAATTTAACATGTCAAATTTTGATTAAAGAAGGTTGTTTTGACCTAAGCACCATGCTTAATTTAAAAGGCCTATGGGTATATTTATATAAAATACACCCAATCTAGAACATATGACATAAACAAGCAAAGCATGAATGAGCATGATTATATTGTAATGGAGACAAACATGATTAACGATGTTGGTGAACATTAAATTACCTTTGCATACCTGAGTATATTTACCGACAGCATATGTAAATGAAGCTTTCAGTCTGCTGTACGGTGGCTTGATTGCATATAGTCATACTCAAGCCATCGACAAGGCTAGGCTACACACACAAATAGTGTATATAGACCATGGGCCTTGGTGAATAGCAGCAAAGGTATAGAAGGGGAGCACCCTTCTTACGGCTCCTTTTGTCTTTTCCTCTTTTTTTCTTTTTTTGTCTCCCCTTTTTTATATATCATTTTTTTCTCTTTTTTATATATATTTTTCTCTCTCTTTTTTTTAGCTCTCTCTTTTTTTTGCAAGGCGGAGGTGACATCATTTTTTTCTTTTTAACCAAGATGGTCTTTGGTGTGTTTCACTACCGGAAACCGGCACTTTGCCGAGTGCCGGAGGCTTTGCCGAGTGTATTTTATCGGGCACTCGGCAAAAACGGTCTTTGCCGAGTGCCTAATAGAATACACTCGGCAAACTCGGCAAAAAAAAAACAGTCGGCAAAGATGGTTTTGCCGAGTGTTTTTTTTCAGCACTCGGCAAAGAAGTATTTTGCCAAGTGCTATTTTCCTAGCACACAGCAAAATGCGTCTTTGTCGAGTGCCTTTTTCGGTACTCGGCAAAGATGTATTTTGCCGAGTGCCATTTTTTGGCACTCGGCAAAATGCGTCTTTGCCAAGTGCTTTTGTATTGGCACTCGGCAAAGAGGCATTTTGCCGTGTGTATTTTTTTTGCCCTTGGCAAATCATTTTTTCAAAGCAATTTTTGAGGCCCTAAATGAATTCAAATGAAAAACTTTTGAACTACAAAGTTGTATAACTTTTCAAGATCTACAAAGTTTATTTTGGTTATTTCTTCATTTGACAAAACAACAATAACGTTGTTCATAAAATCCACATCTCTCTCATATCTCTCATATTAGTTTCATGAAAGTAAAAGAGAGATATATAAGATTTGTGAACAATGTTACTAACACTATGTCGGATGAACAAATGACCAAAATAAACTTTGTAGATCTTGAGAAGTTATGAAATTTTGTAGTTGGCAACATTTTGATTTGAAATCATCTTGTCATGCAAAAACGACGTTTGAATTTGAAAATTTTAAAATTTGAATTTTTCAAAAGACCTCAGATGGAAAAACTTCGTAAATGAAAATTGTAGATCTCCAAAAGTTATGAAACTATGTAGTTGACACATTTTTGATTTGAAATCATCTTATCATGCAAAACTACGTTTGAATCTCTCAAATTTGAAATTCAAAATTTTCAAACGACCTCGGATGGAAAAACTTCCTAAATAAAAATTGTACATCTCAAAAAGTTATAAAACTTTGAGAGAATTCCTTATTTGACACTGGAAAAATGAGTTGTTCCTTTCTTGGCCCTGAAATTTTCTTCGTTCCCTATTTGACACTCACTTCAACTTTCATCCCTAATTTGACACTACTAGTCAAATCAGTTAATAACAATGTTAAGCGGTTGTTAAAAAGACGTTTTGTCCTAGAAAAAAAAAGCGGTAGAAGCAAATTTGAGAGGAAAAAAACCTGCGCTTTTTTTCACCGGGCGCATGCATCGAGGCGGCATGTGTTTTTTTTTTCTCTCAAATTTGCTTCGCCGCTTTTTTTCTACGGGCAAAAACGTCTTTTTAACAGCCAGTTAACACCGTTAGCTAACGGATTTGACGATAATGTCAAATTAGGGATAAAAGTTGGAGTGAGTGTCAAATAGGGAACCAAGAAAATTTCAGGGCCAAAAAAGGAACGACTCATTTTCCCAGTGTCAAATAAGGAATTCTCTCTAAAACTTTGTAGTTGACCACTTTTTGATTTGAATTCGTTTAAGACCTCAAACAAGCAATTTACTCTTAATTTAACAAAAAAATTAAAATATACTTTGTCGAATGGCAGATCGGGGCACTCGGCAAATATTTTCTATCTGAATTTGGAGTGTCACGAAATTACTGTTAATCTGTGATTCCAGTTTAGGTCCAGTGGTAGAGTGGTAGTGCGGCATACTGTAAGCACGTGTACTCTCCCCTCAAAAAACAAAAAAAAAACTGTAGGCATGTGTACTCAGGTTCCCACTGTGTGGCCGCATGCAGCCGTGAACAACCAGCAAAACCAATCCAAAGCGGACCTGCCAGATGGTGGTCTGCCATTCGCTACCATTCACCACCCACGGATCGCGATCCGCGTGAGAGCCTGCCAAATCAATCGGAGCCCTCCATTCCCACGCGATCCGACGGCGCCCGTCCAGCCTGATCCCCACCCTGCCCCAAAATTTTCCACGCCCCGCCTCCCTCCTCGGTGTCCGCGCAGTTCCCCCACCGCAGCAAAATACCGTCTCTTCTCGCCCCATTCCCCCACCGCAGCAAATCCAGAGCCCCATCTCCATTTCAAACAACTGAGCAACAACTCTCCCTTCTCCCCAGCCCAATCCCCCGTGATGGCCCGCACGAAGCAGACGGCGCGCAAGTCCACCGGCGGCAAGGCGTCGAGGAAGCAGCTGGCGACCAAGGCGGTGCGGCAGTAGGCCCCGGCGACAGGCGGCGTGAAGAAGCCGCACCGCTTCCGCCCAGGCACCGTGGCGCTGCGCGAGATCCGCAAGTACCAGAAGAGCACGGAGCTGCTCATACGCAAGCTCCCGTTCCAGTGCCTGGTCCGTGAGATCGCGCAGGACTTCAAGACCGACCTCCGCTTCCAGTCCTCCGCCGTCGCCGTGCTGCAGGAGGCCGCCGAGGCCTACCTCGTCGGGCTCTTCGAGGACACCAACCTCTGCGCCATCCACGCCAAGCGCGTCACCATCTTTGCGGAGTGCGGGATTTTTTTTAAAAAAAAATAAAACGTCTTTGCTGAGCGCCGGTCAATGGGAACTCGGCAAAGAATTTTTTTTTAAAAAAAAAAAATCTTTACCGAGTGCCTGCAGGGTTGGCACTCGGCAAAGCCACCGTCAACGGGGCCGGCGCCGTGATGGTCGCTTTTCTTTGCCGAGTGTCCCCGGGGCATTCGACAAAGCCTTTGCCGAGTGCCCGATAAAAGATACTCGGCAAAGAGATCTTTGCCGACCAATTTTTTGATCGAGTGTTCTTTGCCGAGTGCCGCACTTGGCAAAGACTTTGTCGAGTGCAATTGGGCCTTTGCCGAGTGCATCAGGCACTCGGCAAGGAACCCAAATCCAGCACTGTTTGGGACTTGGTGAGACTTTCATCATTCTCCCCCACACTTTGTAGTTCAAACTTTTTAAATTTGAGATTGTATGGATGTCTAAATATTTTCATTTAAAATCATCTATCTAACGAAAATTACGTTTGATTTTTAAAATTTAAAATTTGAATTTTTCAAACGATCTCGGATGGAGAAACACCCAAAACAAAAGTTGTAGATCTTGAAAAGTTATGCAACTCTATAGTTGATAACATTTTCGTTGGAAATCATTTACTATCTCAAAATGCTGATTGAAAATAAATTTTGAAATTATTGAAGAACTCTGATTTCTCTTTTTAATCTCTGGCTAAAACTTGTAACTAGTCTTTTCCCCTCATACTAACTTCAAATTTGATGATTTTTTTCTAAAACTTTCTAAAATCATGCTCTATCAATTTATTGTTTTGTTATAGCTATTATTTCATCCATCTTTATATGTGACAGTGTTTTATATATTTGAATTTTAAATTTCAAAAAATGACAACTTCAAACGTTATTTTGGAACACTAAATGATTTCAACTGAATAAGTCTTGAATATAGAAGTTTTAGAATTTATCAAGATCTATAACTTTTATTTTGGTCATTTCTTCATCCGATAAAGCGGTAGTAACATTATTCACAAAATTTACATCTCTCTTATAGTTTCATAAACCATAATAGTGATATATAACATTTGTGAACAATGTTACTACCACTATGTCGGATGAGTAAATGATCAAATGACCAAAATAGAAGTTTTAGATCTCAGAAAGTTATGAAACTTTATAGTTGTCAACTTTTTAATTTGAAATTATCTTGTCATGAAAAACTACGTTCGAATTTCTAAAATTTGAAATTCAAATTTTGTAAATGACGTCGGACGGAGAAACTATCAAAATAAAAGTTGTAGATCCCAAAAAGTTATGAAACATTGTAGTTCACAACTTTTTAATTTCAAATCATCTTGTCAAGAAAAACTATATTTGAATTTCCAAAAATTTGAAATTTGAATTTTTTAAACGACCTCGGATGGACAAATAGCAAAAACAAAAGTTATAGATCTCGAAATGTTATGAAACTTTGTAGTTGACAACTTTTGCATATGAAATCATCTTGTCATGGAAAACTACGTTTGAATTTCTAAAATTTGAAATTCAAATTTTGTAAACGACCTCGGATGGAGAATCTAACAAAATAAAAGTTGTAGATCTCGAAAAGTTATAAAACTTTGTAGTTGGCAACTTTTTCACTTGAATTCATTTATGATGCCAAATACTCATTTTAAAATCAGATGAACATAAAATGGCTAGAACGAAAATCTCATTTGGACACAAACAGCTTGCAGGGGGAGTGGTTAGAGGCCGAAAACGTGAAGCAGGAGTTCAGCAATCTAGTGCCGGTGGCCGCGAAGCGTGCCTTTTTTTCGCGCAAAAACTGGCGTAGGCTGTGGGATGTAGACAGTCGCTCCTCTCCGGGCTCCGCCTATTTGCCCTCCACCTCCACGACACTCATTTTAGGTATTTCTCCACCCCAAATTTTGTTGGCGTAAAAGCCTACTGCTGGAAGACGTGGATAGGTGGTGGATCGAGCAGACATGGCTGGAGAAGCCCGTTTGAATTCAAGCAAGGCTGGCGGGAATGGTTGGCGCGCTGGAAGGATGGTGACCGCGTCCACGTCGAGCGCGTGTTCGGGCAGTTGCGCTGAGGCTCCTTTGTATCTTTTTTTAAGCAGTTTCTAGTTTGCTATTGTGTGTCTAAGCTAATGGTATAAGCAGAAGGGACTAATTAAGTAGTTTGTGTTAGCACAGTACTACTGGTGTAATTGTGTTTGTACTCCCCAGTAAACATCAGTGAAATGGGCACTGTCCTCCGGCGGTTGCCGTTCATGTACTCGTCTGTTCTTGCGCGTTCCTTGCATTCTAGCCTTCTAGGCTAGACACTGTGTGTTCAACACCTGTGATTGTGATCCTCGGTGCTGACAAATTTCAGTTCCCAACAACCATGTATAGACTTGTGGTTGCACTAGTATCAATTCAATTGGATTGTAACAAAGTGAAGGCTCCACCTCGGACGCATGGCCATGGAGGTGCTCAAAGCCAAGAAAATGCTTGGCGACTGTGTAGCTGCCCGCTGAGACCTCTTCCGGTATTAAAAAAAATTCTTATATTTTTCAATGTATTTTTTTGGCTTTCCACATCACTGCCGGTTTCACATCAGTGTTGGTTTATAAGAACCGACAGTGATGTCAACCCCCATCACTGCTGGTATGTCACTGTTGGTTCAAAATCCGACAGTGAAGATGTTTTTTGAATCGACAGTGATGTCAAGATCTGGGGTAGTGCTATATTATATATCCAACTGAAGAGGCTGTTGAAGAGCATATTTTCAATAAGATCTCTATTCGTGGAAATTAAAAAAGATATAAAGAGCCTATTAGAGATGCTCGGTCCCTTTATTTTTTTACCAAATCTCTTCTGTTCTCAGTGTCTTTTTTTGCAGCTGCTTTGACTGCTGATCCCTCTTACATAGGTATTGTACTAGGAGTGGCCGCGGCTAAACAAGATATTCGGTGCTGTCAAGAGATACAAGACTAAACAAACACATACATCGTAACTGATGGATAACACTTCCATTAGTTTTTCATTAATCCATGATTTGAGTTGTAATATCACCCAACAGAGAGATTATTTCATACATCTCCTTTCCTCAAATCTATCACCAATGTAGGATCTACACGACAAGCTACATACGTCATGCATGATGACCCCTCTGCTTTAAAATGAAATAATACTGTTAATTTAGAACAAACCATTTAATTTAGAACAGAACGACATGGTTTCCAATAATTCTGACACTTGGACATGCAGATTAATTTCTGTTAAAACATAACATTTCAGATTGTAAAAAAACATATATCACTATGGAAATATATTTCATGGTTTACCTCATTAAAAGCATTGTCATGTGCGAGTTTGTGTTCTCTAACCCTTTACATTTCACATTTACATTCTAATTATATTCCTTGGTTTTGAACTAGATATAATAAGCACTTAATTTTCATATAAGCATACTGGGAAAAAAAAAGAAGTGCAACAACCAGCAAAATCAAAACACTGGAAAACTAAAATATGTATTTTGATGTCATGACACATAGCCTACCACAATAACCGATACAACTCCAGTTATGATTTCAACAAAACACATGCTCCCCCATTCAAAAAATAGTAACCAAAATTTTATCATAGCCAGATTAGGAGCAGGGATTTGTGTGTTAAAAATTAAATGGATGGATCCACATGAAACATATATGTAATTTTGGTTTGTCGTGGGTTCTAAATTCTTGCACACTGAATTCTAATACTTATGTACGTCTTGGGGGCGGGGGGGGGTTCAGTTGCTCCAAAACAAAATCACCAGATTCATTCGATGCATAGTAGGTACAGCTAGCTGGGTGCCCCTGAACAAACCCAAGATGCCAATACGACACCAAGATACCATCGTCATATGGACATAAAGTATATGCTGATCTTCTTACGACTGTACAGTCATTGGACAAGGGGCGCATGTCTCGACGACACACAATTTTGTTTGCAAAAGTTGTCAATCCCAACTTGGGCGATCTACGCTATGCATTCCTAGCAGGTGCCCAATGACGAAGAAGTAACCTGCATGCATTTTATTGGAATCATCGATGAGACATATGGCAAACTATGTGAAACTTTGTAAGCGCCGTATGGATGCACACATGACATGTATATATAAGCTCCATGCGTACCTAAAAGCGCAGCCACACAGCAGCTGGAGTAGTTCTTCTTCTTCCTCCTCTGATCTTCTTCTTTGATCCTCTACATACACTACCACAGAACGGAATTTTCTTGGCGGCCAAAAACCGCCAAGGAATATAGGAAAACTGCCAACGAAATGTTTTTTGGCGGTGCACCGCCAAGCATGAACCTCCAAGTTTGGATTGTAAGGAAAATAGAGTTTCCTTGGCGGCTGGCCCTCAAGCAATGTTTTCTTGACTGCCAACCTGCCAAGAAAAACATGGACATGTAACAACCGACAGGAGGACAGGAAAATGAGTAGACCGACAAGTAAATACATTTTCTTGAGGGTCATACACCGTCAAGTAATCATATTTCCTTGGGGGTGCTTGACCGCCAAGTAATTGCATTTTCTTGAGTGCTACTTACCGCCAAGTTAAGGGTGTATTACTTGGCGGCCTTAAACCGTCAAGAAACCTTATTTTCCTTGTCTGTTGTCCCGCCAAGAAAATTAATTTTCCTTGCTCCCTTCTCAGCCAAGGCAATACATTTTGCACAAATATGGTAGCCAAGGAAATATGATTTCGCCAAGGAAAAGGCAGAAATATTTCACCAGAACAATTAAATCGAATGGATCAAACGATATTCATTAATGATCCAATAGTCATATAGATAATAACATCAGAA